TTACATAGTGTCCTACATGCATTACCCAGTGTGCTATATGCATACATACACATAGCATGGGGTGCTGTATGCACAGATACACATGCACGGTGTGCTATATGCACACATACACAGGGTGCTACATGCATTACATGGTGTGCTGTATGCATACATACACATAAAAAGTGTGCTGTATGCACACATACACATACACAGTGTGCTATATGCACACATACACATAACACGGGGTGCTATATGCACACATACACATACACAGTGTGCTATATGCACTACAGAGTGTGCTATATGCACACACACATACACAGTGTGCTATATGCATACATACATATACAGGGAGTACTCTATGCAGACATACACATAGCACGGGGTGCTGTCTGCACACATATACATACATGGGGTGCTATATGCGTGCATACACACATAGGGGATGCTCTATGCAGACATACACATAGCATGGTGTGCTACATGCCCACATACACATACAGGGTGTGCGATATGCACACATATACATACAGGGTGTGCTATATGCATCCATACACATACAGGGGGTGCTCTATGCAGACATACACATAGCACRGGGTGCTGTGTGCACACATACACATAGCACGGGGTGCTATATGYGTACATACACATACCGGGGGTGCTCTATGCACACATGCACATATAGGGTGCGCTCTATGCAGACGCACGGAGCAGCCGGGCGCTCACCTTGGGCAGCGAGGCGCGCGAGCCGGCGCTCTGCGTGGTCATGGTGAGCACCGTGGTGATGCCCAGCCCCACGCGCGCCGGCGCCGCCTCCATGTTGATCCAGAAGGACACCCACGAGAGGATGACGATGAGCAGGCTCGGGATGTACATCTGGATCAGGTAGTAGCCCATCTGCCGCTCCAGGTGGAACTTCACCTCGATGCACGTGAACTGGCCTGCACGCACGGAGAGGGTGCTGTGGGTGCCCCGGGCGGGCCGGGGGGCCCCGGCGTCCCCGGGGGGGGGGCTCACCTGTATTGTAGTGCTTGGTGCAGTAGCCCAGGTCCTTCTCCTCGCGCAGGATGAACTGCGGCAGCGTCAAGCCCTCGGCCACCTGCACGGCCTCCTGCTCCTCCAGCCACTTGAAGATGAGGTCGTTCATGGTGTAGCCGACTGCGCGGGAGGGAGGGGGCCGGCGCTGGGAAAGGGGTGCCCCCTTTCCCCCCCAACCCCAAAGCTGGCTCCATCCCGCTCCCTGGGGGCTCCAGAGCCACCCGGGCACTCACAGCTCTCCAGCTGCATGGTGCACGTCTGGATGTCCATGGGGAAGTTCTTGAGGTCCATGGGGCAGGAGAGGATCAGTGTCAGCCTGGACGGAGAGCAGTGGGTCACAGGGGGACACAGGGAGGGCAGATACCATCCTCCCCCCGCCGCGGTCCCCAGCGTCCCCACCTGATGCTGTAGAGCACGTTGCCGTTCTTGAAGATGCGCAGCAGCTTGTTGTCAGTGGTGACCTCGTGGAAGTTGGCGCCCTTCTCGTTGGCGAAGAAGAGGTCGGGCTTCCAGATGGAGTCGAGCATGGAAGGGTCGAGGTCGAGGGAGTCGTCGGGGTACTCGCGGTAGGCCAGGCGCGGGTCGTTCCACTGCTGCCGCAGGAAGACGTTCACGCGATAGTCCTGCGGGAGAGGAGCCGGTGCGTCGGACAGGGCGCCGCGTGCGCCCACCCGTGCGCCCGCCCGCCCGCCGCCCTCACCATGGTGGTCTCGGTGACGGAGCCGAAGCTGTTGATGAAGATGTTGCAGGTCACGTTGACGGGAGGCCCTGCGGAGCGAGTGGGCRGTGTGAGAGCCGAGCGGGTGCCCAYGGGGACCCCGGCACGGCCGCCCGCGGGACACCCATGTGCCCCCTTCTCACCTTTGAAATTGGGCCGGATGCGGGCGTCGTAGCCCGACGTGCGGCCCATGAGCTTGTCGAGGAAGTCAGAGGGTGACATGGGCTGGGGTGCGCGTGGCGCCGCTGGCACCATCCCCTCCCGCCCTGCCGCCAGCCTGCGGAGAGGGGACAGCTCAGCGGGCACCGCGGTGCCACCGAGGCGTCTTCCAGCTCGTCCCAGCGGGGAGATTTGGCCCTGTCGCTTTGGCTGCAGAGTGGGGAGAACAACGAGGCCGGGGCCCTGCGAGGCCGCTGCCCCGAGATGCTGCTGCTCCCTGCTCCGACCCCRTCTCTGGCCGGGAGCGCGGGGAAGGAGCCGGGAGAGTGAGGAGTTAAGGAGGCTCTGCCTGCCGCACGTCCCCGCTGCAGGCAGCAGCAGGAGGAGGAGGAAGAGGAGGAGGAGGAGGAGGATGCTCCCGGGGGCGCGCGGGAGGACGGCCCCAGGCCCGGCTCCTCGCAGCCCCRGGTGCAGCCGCTGGCCCTGGCTCTGCCCAGCGCTCAGGCCTGTCCCCCCTGGCTCCCCACCGTGTGARGGGCTCTGGGCACCTCTGGGCACCTCTGCGCAGGGCAGACGGTGGCTCCAGGTCATCCCTCCAGCCCGGGCAGCTGGGGACAGGGGGTCCTGGGACCCCCGGGCAGGGGCAGAGCTGGGCTCTGCATGGCCAGGGATGACGGGGAGGGTCCTACTGGGTCTGTGGGGGGAGACTGGGGGCTGCAGCTCCCCAGGAGAAGGGATTTGGGTCTTGTTTCCTAAAGGGAAGGTTGGGAGTGTGTTGGGGAGGGGGGATTCAAGTCCCGGGAGGCTGGGTTGGGAGGCTGGAGTGAGGTCCAGGTCCCAAAGGGAGGATCTGGCTCAGGATGCTGGAAGGGTCAAAATCTGGGGYGGGATGGGAGCCTGGAGTGGGATCTGAGTCTCGAGTGAGGATCTGAGTCCCAGGGRGGTCCGTGTCTCGGAAGGAAGATGCAGCTCAGGATGCTGGAGGTGGGGGGCATGGGTCAGAGGGAGGGATGGAGGGTCTTGGTCCCTGAATGAGGGTCTGGCTCGGGATGCTGGAGGGTGTCCAGGACTGGGCTAAGTCGGGATGCTGGAGCGGGTCCCTGGGCACGGTTAGGATGAAGAGTGGGATCTGGCTCCCGATGCTGGAGAGGATCTGATTCAGGAGGGAGAGGGTGGATCAAGGTGAGGAAGGGGGTGTTCGGGGGGAGTGAGTGGAGGTGCCCCAGGGGTTCAGAGTCCAGGAGGAGGATTTGGGTCATGGAGAGGGTCCATATCCCAGGACAGGGTCCAGTCCTGGGGATGCCGGAGCAGGAGCAGAGTCCCGGGGATGGGTGCGGGTCCCTGGTGGGCACCCCCACTCCCGCCCCCCGCGCACGGCGCTCACCTGGGCGGGCCGCGCCGGGGCACCAGGCAGCCGAGGAGGAGGAGGAGGAGGAAGGCGAGGGCGGCGGGCCGGAGCGCGCCCATCCCGCCGCCCCGGGCGCACGGGCATGTC